AAATTTCTGCCTACGCTACTGGTCCGCACAGCAGCAACAACCAATCACATGAATCTCTTGCCCCCGACACACAAAGCAATAGCAATGTTAAAACTAAGTAAACTGGAAAAAAAAAAAAAAAAAAATCCCCAACAGGCGAAAACCTACCAGTTTCACCCACTGTCTCTGCCTCCTCCCTCCATGCCTCGCTCCTCTGGTTTGTATCCCGGTAGATGAACAGAGACTGATCATACAGCACCGGGTGATTCACTACCGCATAATGAATTTTCCCTCACATTTTTGGAATATGAGGAATTACCTGCGTAGTCTCTCCCAACATACACGCGGTCTGATTGGCTAGCGCTTGTACCGGCAGATTTGCATAAACGGGATTTCATCGGCTGACGCTTCTGCCGAGGCGCCAAAAGTTGAACATTGCTCAACTTTTTGAAGCGAGCAACGCCAGCAAACGCTCCACGTCGCTTCCCAAAATACAGTTCTACTAAAAGCGACGTCACCCCATTCAAAGTGAATGGGCAGAAGCGTTTGGAAGCTGTAACGCACGCCACCGTGTGGACGGGCCGTCACAGTGGCTCTGCGCCAGAAACATCAACAAATAAATAAATAACTAAAAAAATAAATAAAAATAAAAACATTCTGGAATATCACCCCTCCACTCCCATTAACATCCCTCAGCTAGCAGCTGCGCTATCTACAGATTCCGTGTTTGTTGACTATCTCCCGTCATGGCTCTCCCAAGGCTTCAGGGTAGGGGTCCTCCCATCTCCCACAGTGACTTTCGTAGCAAGAAACTTACAGTCAGCCGCTAAAGAACCCAACATAGTTTCCCAGCTCATCGACAAAGAACTTCTCAAAGGATATATAATCGGTCCTTTTAGCTCCTCCCCCTTCTCAGTGTTCCGTTCAAATCCCATCGGAATAGCCACACGTAAATAAAAGGCTGATTTTCGATCTGTCCGCTCCCTGCTCCGGCCCATTCTGCAGCGTCAATAGCATCATCCCTCCAGATCAGTTCTCCCTTCACCATGCCTCAGTGGATAATGCAATAAAGATGATCAAGTTCACAGGGCATGGAGCTCGGCTCTCCAAAGCGGACATTACCGATGCCTTCAAATCATCCCCATTCATCCGTCTCAGTGGAACTTGTTCGGTATTAAGTGGGAGTCCAAACTCTATCTTCGCGTTCGCCTGACCTTCGGGTGCAGAAGCAGCCCCTGCATCTTCAATTCCTTCTCGGAAGCGCTCTATTGGATCCTGCTGAACATCGTCAGAATCCCCTCCGTCCTTCACCTACCGGACGACTTCCTCCCCATAAACCCGCACAGGACAGCTCAGGGATCTCACTGGCCAAGCTTAAACACTGCTTCAGGAGTGAGGTGTCCCTCTCTCCAAAGAGAAAACGTTAGGTCCCGTCACACGCTTAGAGTTCTTAGGCATCATCCTCGACTCCATAGACATGAAGGCGTCTCTCCCCTCAGACAAATCGCAGCGCATCCAGGACATCACCAAGTCATACTGCGAGCAACAAGTTATCACAAAACAACTGTCGCTCTCCCTTCTCGTACACCTCAACTTCGCCATGCACATCATCCCCCAGGGGCGCTCGTTCATCTCCCGCCTCCTGGACGCAGCATCAGCGGTCGACAACCTCCATGACTGCGTTTTCTTAGACGAAGGCTGCCGCTCAGACCTTCGGTTCTGGTCCCTCCTGCTCGCTCACTGGAACGGAATTACTTTATTCTACGATGGCCTCGTGCGTTCCTCTGACTCAATGAGGTCTTCACGGATGCCGCCCATCCATGGGTTTTGGGGGGTTTCTTCCAGGGAGAGTGGTTCGCAGGGTCATGGCCCCGTCAATTTCTACCTCAAGACGGTGGTCCTCCTCCGCCTTCACAACCTTCATTCGTCCGGACATCAGCGCCGTACGGGCTTCCCAAAGATCTCTCAGACCCTAACTATGGTAGTTATACATATAACTGGTGGTGGCTCAAACACATTCACAAGTATACATGTCTCACTAAGGTTCCCGATATTCAAAACTGCATTCCTGTCCTAATTCCGCGGGCCCCGCCCACAGGGAATAATGTCTCGTCTCACGCCGCAACTACAGGTAACGGGCTTCATCTCCGGCACACAGGTATTTCATTCCCAGGCCTTGCTCAAACGCATCAGTGTAAAATGTATTTCCTGCAGTCCGCGCGGACTCGGGCCACCGTACACTCCGGTGTCAGTTACAAAACAAAGGAAATAAAGAAAGAGTAAAGATATATATATATATATATATATATATATATATATATATATAGCCTGCGAAGTCAGGCGTGGCGGAAGGCCACCGTACACTTCGGTGCCAGTTACAAAACAAAGGAAAAGAAATGAAGAGTAAAGAAAAATATATATATATATATAGCCTGCGAAGTCAGGCGTGGCGGAAGGCCACCGTACACTTCGGTGTCGTAGCGGAAGGCTACCGTACACTTCGGTGTCAGTTACAAAACAAAGAGTAAAGAAAAAAGATACATATATATAACCTGCGAAGTCAGGCGTGGCGGAAGGCCACCGTACACTTCGGTGTCAGTTACAAAACAAAGGAAAAAGAAATAAAGAAAAAAAAATATATATATATATATATATAGCCTGCGAAGTCAGGCGTGGCGGAAGGCCACCGTACACTTCGGTGTCGTAGCGGAAGGCTACCGTACACTTCGGTGTCAGTTACAAAACAAAGGAAAGAGTAAAGAAAAGATATATATATATATATATATATAACCTGCGAAGTCAGGCGTGGCGGAAGGCCACCGTACACTTCGGTGTCAGTTACAAAACAAAGGAAAAAGAATAAAGAGAAATATATATATATATATATATATATATATAGCCTGCGAAGTCAGGCGTGGCGGAAGGCCACCGTACACTTCGGTGTCGTAGCGGAAGGCTACCGTACACTTCGGTGTCGTGGACGTTGGGCCACCGTTACAAAACGAAACCGCTCGCTCCTCGGCGTAGTCAAGCCCTGCTGGCCAGGCATGCGACCCGCAGGTCGTTTTCAGATAAGACCGGCACTGATTTCGGCAGTCAGAGTCTCAGCATGACCAGTAAGCTCCGGCAGTGATTCCGGCACAGTGTCGCTCATATACGTGTTAATCTATTATCTCTCCTCCCCAGATCACCAGTCACCCCACAAGGTAAGCAACTCAGTTCATCTCAGTATTCATACTTCACTGGTTTTGGGGATTTCATCGGAGCGGTGCTTTCCCTCCTGAATGATTATCCTGCAAACCGGGGGCCTAATCGCCAAACACCATTACATTCTCCTGTTGTACTATCATGGCAATCATTTAATTCATATGACGTGTAAACAATAAATATGTAATTCTTACATCACGTCTCTCCGGGTTGAAATGAAAGCTTTAGCGCAAGTTCAATAAGGAAGACCTAACTCGAGTCACTCACACGTCACTCTATGGCTCCCTTCCCCCCTCATTAAATATGAGGGCGTCACGCCTCAGCAGCCAATCGCTGCACATGCTAAATGCCTTAAATACCTGCTCTTCCTCCCTGTCAGTTGTCATTGCAGATGATCACACGCAACCCGCCTCCACCCCTCTCGCCTCCCGTCTCCTTCAGGACAAAGCTAAACCTTCCTCCTTCAGACTGGTCTCACCTACTCATCACCACCACCAGTGTCTAGACCCCGGGGATTTCATCGGAGCGGTGCTTTCCCTCCTGAATGATTATCCTGCAAACCGGGGGCCTAATCGCCAAACACCATTACATTCTCCTGTTGTACTATCATGGCAATCATTTCATTCATATGACGTGTAAACAATAAATATGTAATTCTTACATCACGTCTCTCCGGGTTGAACTGGCCCTTCCTACATCCAGGACATGGTTAAACCGTACACCCCAGCGCGTGCACTACGCTCTGCATCAGCCAAACGACTCGCTGCGCCCTCGCTGCGAGGGGGGACCCAAGTTCCCATCGGCAAAAACACGTGCGTTTGCTGTCCTGGCTCCAAGATGGTGGAATGAGCTCCCCATTGACATCAGGACGGCAGATAGCTTGCACATCTTCCGGCGAAAACTGAAAACTCATCTCTTTCGACTCCACTTCGAGCGTTAGAACTATTAACGAAGCACTTTTATACTAATAAAGGACTGGCTTACCTAAAGCCAGTTGAGTAGCACTTGAAATGTTTGGCTCTATGAAACCTGATGTACTTATATGATTCTGTGTTCTTCAAGGTTGTGTCTTCCTGGTCGAATGTACTTATTGTAAGTCGCTTTGGACAAAAGCGTCAGCTAAATGCAATGTAATGTAATGTAATGTCTCCCCTAATCCCATGTATTTTGGCATCAAATATGTCATAAGCATGTAATTATGAAGTGCAATACCCACAATCCCTACAGGGTCGTAACATCACAGAAGATAATACCTTTTAGAGAGTTTCGAAATTGTTCAGTATGCAGATAAATATTTGTTTTACAATAGAAACATTTTTCTCCATAAATGTTCCCACATGTTGTGAGCATCAACTTTAAATCTTTTGTCAACAAATAAAAAACATCTTAATTTCCTTTACGACAACATTTTGTTTATAACACCACTACATTAACAATAAGCATAGGAAAATGATAAATGTCAACATTTAAGATTGTGCTTTTACTCTTTATTTAATCAAATCTATTTCACATTGAAAATGTGATAAATACACAAGGCACATTGAAAGTTACATCTTGCATTTTATGAAAAATAAAGGTTTCGAATCATTTTATGACTTAAGTACACTAGAAAATAAATTAAAGATGTGCAACAACTGTATCAGTAATTAACATGATATAACTTATGTACAGGGTTGGGAGGGCTACTTGCCAAAAACACAACCAGTAACTTCATGTGAGTATCAAGATATAAAAGTAATGTAACGTGATAACTTTCTTTTTCTTTTGGATTACCTCAATATCAAATGCAATGCAAATAAACACAGGAGAGAAGAAATATTAATATGATTTTTTTACTTAAATGTATAATATAATACCATAAAGCAGATTCAGGCAGTAGGTGTATATAGATTCACAATTAAAGTATTAGCCTACAGAACAGTACTGCTTCCAGAGAAGAGATACAATTTGATCATTTTACAACAAACACTATATGCTCTTTTTAGGTTTTGAATAAGATTGTAATCCTGAGTTTCCCTATTATTAAAAAAAGTCAAACTAATCCGATTACATCTTTTCCTATGTAACTAAGGATTACACTTTCCTTTTTTTCTATACGATCTTGATTCGTGTTAGATGTAATCCATTACTACCTAAGTAAAAGTCATAACTTTTGGAAAATTGTCTCAAGTTATAAATTATGCCTTCAATCTCTTTCACGTGGAGAAGACATCACATTGGCCGAGGCGTTGCAACTTCCCTCAAGCGTCCTACATGAAAGAAAGATCACATGTTAAAAATGTGTGCACAAACTATTCAGTATGACCCGTCTTAGTTTAAAGCCCAAGTGTAAGAGTGAACAGAGGCGGAGTCTGCCTGTTTTTCAATTTGTTTTGTTTGTTGGCTGCTGCTACCCAAACCAACATCCTCACAAGCATTGACTGTTGGAATGTCATTATGCTCCACATGTGGAACAACAAAGGCTTCTTCAGGTGTGCCTTGTATCATAATGATATTGCTCTGATCAGCAGCAAGACTGTTTTCACCACTACCATGGTCTACATCTGCAACCTCCTCATTGCTATTAACAATCGAACTAGGACTGTCACTTACCTCCTCATTGCTCCTCACCCTGCTTTTCCTTCTAGGCTGTTGTTCTTTGCCATTGGTGAAATAGAAAATGGTGGGCACTGCAGTGTTTTTCAGGCATCTCCTTCCCTAATAAAAATAATAAACAAAAACACATAAAATAATTTTTGAGGTCTGTAGATATTCAACTTTCTTTTGAATAATGTTGTTTTAAATTTAAGAGTGCATTATAAAAGACAATAGAGGGCCAACATGTTCATTATGCAGTTAATCCATTCAACAATTACGTGTTTCTAAGATTCGGATTCAAAGGATTTATGTCATATGCACATAGGCTACAGTGTAGGAATGGCAATGAAAATCATCTGTCCCGAGCTCCTCCAACAATGCAAAATTAAATTAAGAATAATAAATTAGTGCAGGCAGAAATCTATATACACGTAAATATAATAAGACATATGCAAGAACAGAATGTAAAGATAAATATTGTATAGTAAAATGAAATTAAATCCTTTTTTTTTTTTACAGTGATAGCTGTTAAGATCAATAAGTTATAAGATGACAACAGATGAATGAATGTTGCTATTAAAATAATGTAAAAAAAGGTAATATAATTCATCTGTTTTTAACATAGAGTATGTGGGGGGAAATGGCAATTCTCTATCTATGATAAAGAGTCTTTGCATAAATTGAAGAGAAATGTGATGGTTTGCAAAAAAAAAAATCGATTTCTATGTTTCTATACTTAACTGGCAAAATCTTAATTTGGCCTTTAATCAAAAGAACATTACTCATCACTGATGTGCAAGCTGTGCCATAACAATTATTTAGCATTGTATGATGTATAACATGTATTTAATTAGTAACAACAATTTACACTCACAAATGGAACCAAGTTATTAAAAAAAAAAAAAAAGGATCTACCCATGAGTCCGTGCTGAAGTGATGACTCTCAAAGGGTTCACTGCACAGGCGAGATGAAACGTTGGGTGAAACTGGTCCAGCCTGTCTGGATCACCTAAAGGAAACCTTTATTCAAAAATACATGAAAACCGACCCAAAGACAACAGGAGGGTTAATGCCATATTCACTTAATAACGCATGAACAACTTTTACAAATATTTCTATATAGTCTGTGTTGGTAAATGTAATCTAGGTTGCCTACCAAGTTACTGCGTGGCACTTTGGTTTTGATAAAACAGTGTAGTTCCACTATATAAACGTTACATTCATAATCAAACGAGACAATATGCAAGATAAATAGCTATTTGTTGTTATTCTTAATGCTTGTCATCGTACGTTAAGAAAAGAAAATAAGTACCGATACATAGCAGAACAATTGTGGCGATGTTCAGCTTAATAAGACTTGTTCAACATCATTTCTTTAGCTAATACTATAGAAGGCTGCAGACGAACCAATTCCGCGTTTCGCTGCATTCCTTGATCTCCAGTTATAACGCCGGGCTCCGCCGCTGGCCGAAGCTAACGGAGCCGCAAAGGGCTAGCTACGGCTCCGGTTAGCTACGGCTCCGGTTAGCTTCGGCGGCGGACTCCGGCGGCCTCCACTGGGATAATTGGGTCCCCTTTTAACATTTGCTCCCATTTAGCATTATGGGCGTCATAGCCATAGACTATAAAAGTCTTACCCAAGGCTGAATCATAAACTAAACTGTATATATATATATATATACAACATGTATAAAGGGTTACGTCCTCAGCTGGCTAATAAGCTACATAGCAAGCTAAGCTAACAAGCACACAAACACCTGCTAACGGGGTTAACATGTATAATATTATCATTTTACTCACCGAAAAAAGCTGAGAGTAGACTTCTTGGAAGTTCTGTTAGTACATTCAAGCGCACAGCACGACATTTTAATTGTCTGGTATTTGTAACAATATTCCCTAAAAGGCACAATCACCACAAACGCGGCTAAAGCTAAAGGGTCAAGTACAGTACTATGACTAACTAACGTTGTAGCCTCTATGGTTGTAGCCTAGCAGAGTGGACAAGTTGCTGTTAGCTGACAGTGAGGCATGTACGTGTCCATCAAAGTGACCACGCCCTAATTTATGCAAAAAACTTTAAGACCTAATATAAATAAAAGGGTCGTGTTAGAAAACAATTCACTCACAGATCCATAATCATGAAGGTCGAATCTAACTATATCGATAATAAAAATGTATGGAGCCTGGGGTAGAAACATGTTTTTTTATGCTGTAAAATTGGGCATTTTAACATGGGGGTCTATGGAAATTGCTCCTTTCTGCAGCCATCGCCTATCTGCCAATATATGAACTGCAGTGTGTGGCACTTCCGTATTGGCGTCCCGGCTCTTCCCCAGAGTTTGCCGCTTGGCCGCAACGCGTCTCAAACAAGCCTAGCGTCTCAGGGCTTCTTAACATTTATGAAACTATTAATGTTTCATACCCTTTTAAAGGTAAGAAACTCTGCTAACTGACAATAAGAACAATTTTTAGCTAAAAAAAACACAAGAGTAATACCAAGCCTTTGAATTAGCATTGAGCGAAAAAATGCTAACGCTTTTTTACACAGAACTCACGGTAGAAATGCCCTTATTACTATCTTAACTGCACAAACAAGATATACGATTTAAAGCTGAGACTCCACAGATTCCACACATGTAATGTCATCACTGTCCGACCTCGAATTCCTGGAGCTATCAGCCAGAAAAGAGAAAGTAAACAACATCCGGTTTCAAAAATATTACAATAATTACGTCTTATAATAACGTCGGAATAAAAACGCCGCTCAAGGTTAATCCAATGTCTTTGTGTCACGTAGAAATGTTTACTGATAATCCATCATCATATTTATGGCAATATACTGGGTATAAAGTTTTGCCGTCCAGGCTTGCACTTTCAGATATGCTTCGTTTGCTTCTCTATTACGTCCGCTATGGTAATGTTTATGTGGATTTGGGAACTGCCCATCGATTCTATTGGTTCTGATGGTTAAGAAAAAGGTGTAAATCACACGAATCGACCAATGGGTTCCAGAGATATGGTCCTGCGTAAAGTATAAAGAATGCCAGCCAGCGTAACAACATTACGCAGCCGACTTCATTTATTGTTTACAACGTAACGAAGCAGGAATTGCTGCAGGACCCAGAGCGCACGGAGCACAGAGCGGATAGCAGATACCAGAGCAGATTACAATATTTGCGTTGAGGACTTTTTCTGTACTTTGACTTTTGTCAAATAATGGCTCACAGGAAAGAGATGCTTACTACTTTACAGGCAATGGAAATTGTGACTAATGTTGACAGCGATGCAGATATGTTACCTGTTGATTCTGAGTCAGACGACGAGGATCTCCTGCAGCCAGAATGGAACCCGGACCGTTGTGACTCTGATGACGAAATTCCACCACGGCAAAGGTATATAATCTCTCTGTTTTTATCTATTACTTATTTATTTGGTGTACGATTATTCATATAGAAAATAAAAGCGTCTGCTAAATGAAATGCAATGTAATGTAAATTCACACGCAAAATGGCATGTTTGGCAGGAATTAGAGGGATTATTTACAAAAATACCAAATAGTGTTTATTGTCCGTTACATTTACTAAATGTATAGGTCAGTGTTCGTCTATAGTCACTAAATGTATTGCATTCACACACTCAAAATGCCATGTTTACTGCCAAGGAAACAGGAATTACAGGAATTCATCTAATCTCTTTGTTATTCCACATTTGTTTTCATAGTGATGGAGATTAGGATGAAATGACTTCTGGACCCCCACCAATGTCTACTTTCACCCAGCCCACACCTGCCTCACCCTCACATTCCTCAACTTCTGCCTCACCTTTCACTAGAAAGAGATCTGCACCAGTATTGGCCACTCAGCCTGCATCCAAAAAGCACTCACTTCCAAAGCTACCATCGTCTGCTTTCTACCAGCTTTCTGCAGCGTCAGACACATCTGTAAAACCCAGGAAGCGTGGCCGAGGTGGGGCTCCCACTCCTCAGCCAGGAAAAGGAAAAGCATCAGATAAATGTGTAAAACCCAGGAAGCGTGGCCGAGGTCTCTTCCAGAACGACAGAAGAAGAACTCGGGTGGCACAACAGAGAGGAGAATGACCAAACACCAGAGCCACTGAATTTCACGCCAGCCAGAAAAAAGGCTGAAAGGGGAGATCTGCGTTGGATAAGGGAAGGCAAACTCCTGTTCATAAAGTGGATGGACAGCCGTGAAGTGACCATGTGCTCCACAGTGCATGCAGCCTTCAGTAGAAAGACTGTCAGGAGGAAAGTGAAACAGGCTGGTGTTTGGCAGACTAAGACTGTTCCCGTTCCTGACGCTGTGTTGGACTACAACCGAAGCATGGGTGGCGTGGATGTGTCTGACGCTTTGATCGGGTACTACAGCGTTCTCCACAAAACAATGAAATGGAACAAGACTTTTTTTTTCCATTTTATGGACTTTGCCGTGGTGAACAGCTTCCTTCTCCACAAGGAGCTGTTCAAGATGAGGAGTGACCCCAGCAGGACAAAGCCACACACACAGAAGACTTTCAGGGAGCAGCTGGCGGCAGAGATGTTGGAATATGCTGAAGGCTCTGCACCAAGGGTGGTTTTCACTATAAGTAAAGGTTTATTTTTAGGCAGACATTAGAATTTACATGTTTTTACTATGTTCCATCTGAATTTACTTTAAAAATAAAAACATCTATATTGATTCTGACACTTCTACATCCAACTCACAGATGTAACCTAGCTTTGAGAAAAAATAATTATTAATTTACCCCTTTTAGAAGTGAAGATATATCATTTATTGTGTTAGTGGCATTTTCGAGCCTGAAACCTGAAAAACAGGCTCAGAGCTTAAGAGGTTAATATAATCAAATATATAACCCCTGTGTGCACCACTGAATTTATTTTACCGATATGTTGGGTGATCTGTGTTCATGCTTAGCCTGAAGTTTCCTCATTCTTTCCAGCAAACCAGCCATGCAGGTCACCTTTTGCTCCCAGTTTGGTCAGGATTTCCTAGTTTGACACACATATCTAAAGCAGTGCAATACCAATATATCTAATATCATATTGTGAATTAAATGAAACATTAACCAGGAAGAAAGAGGTGTTTTGACAATTGGACTTAATGCTGTGGCATGTATAACCTCAAAGTAATGGACCAAAAACCAATGTGCACCACAGAGGACACAAATGAATGGGTGGGTCTCTGGAGGATAAATAGCGCCTGCAGTTGTTGCAGCTCCAGCCTCTGCTCTAAAGCCTGCATGCCCTCGCCCCCCTGCTGTGATGCCAAGAAGGCGAAGAATTGTCGCCATTTCGCCATGAGTTCTGAGAACTGGAGCTTTAAAAAAAGTGTGATGTCAGTCCAATACCACTAGCGTATCAGCTAAACGAGTGCATTGACCATAATGTCCCCTCACTACTTACCAGAAACTGAGGTCGTCCTAGAGCAGTCATTTTAATAGCAGTAAAACCGTCCATTGAACTCCCACCAGGAGGTCAAATACACTTAGCTGTAACATAAATCAAATGAAGTAAAGAGCAAAATATGAACCTGATGGCAAATGCATGCTAAAAGACTGCACTATGTGTAATACATTGATTGGTTATAGACTTGGACCACATGTATATTGGTTTAAGGAGGACTTTTTTGGTAAGAATTGTCAAAGCATATTAGCTAGAGTAAAGTTGTATCACTGATATAGTCTAATTTCCAATTACTAACCAGATGCTTTGATACATTTTGTGACGAAGGTAACTTCGTCACTGTGAACTGACGGCTTCGGGCCTCGTAACTCAGCACTTTAGTGAACAGTTTTGCACTTTATTAGCGTGATTGCACAGTACCGTTTGGCATGGCATATTTGCACATTTTATGTAATTTATACTAATTATTGAGATAGTATTTATTAAAGGATTAAACCGTATTGATTGAAATGTCGTCTGGCAGGTGCTGGTCGGGTCCTCGGCTCCGCCTGACAAGATAGGGGAGTTAGCGAGAGCGCCGAAAGTGCTTATGCTGGGGTAGAATGATAGCGGTTAAGAATAATCCGGGTGCAAATAATATGTGGGGGTGTATACATCATAGCGTTAAGTGGCAGTAATTGTTCAAGTGCTGACTGCGTTTAGTTAGGTTTGTATGTGTGTACTTCTGTTCAGTTATAAGTTTGTGTTTGAAAAGTGTTCCCCCTCCCGTTATGTCTGTTGCTGATTGTGTGCACCTGGTGCCCTATGCTGTCTCCTCCCCCCTCACCTGTGTCTTGTTGTGCTGATTAGAGTGTGTGTATTTAGGCTCTGTTTCTCTGTCTGTTGAGGAGGCAGGGACTGTGGTTGAGATCCTGGTGGCTGCAGGCTGGGCTCACGTGAACAGCAGCAGCAGGATTGAGGCTGTGTGTAATGTGTTCATGTTTTAATAAATGCCCACACCGGGTTGTATTTTTGGACGTTCTGCCTCCTTGCTTGGTTGGGCCGCTCAATTGTCAGCTTCACACATTTGATGAAGGTCTCCATATGCTTCTCACATGTAGCCTCATCTGCATAGAAATACGTGTGGGCTCCAGTCACGCCCCCGCGCCGGTCCTCGAACAGTGTTTTCTCTCTATGGTCCTCACCGGGGGGGAAAACAAGCATATTACGTCGAATTTAATCATAAATTAAGTCTACAAATGAGAACAAAACAAAGCATCTTACCTATTTATTTCTCTGCAGCAGACACATGTGAACTAAATCAGAAGATATACAAAAGGATAAAATGTGTTAATCTGTGCAGTATTTGGGCAACATGAGTTATGGAGGTTTCATCAGAATTACAGCAAAATATCTGATATTGTTTAAGCTTGGGGCCTCACACTCCTTATTTGAACAATTTGGCTTTGCAGCTTGTCACAGACAGACATAGTGTGACCATTTATATGCTACAATGTCCTGCTGTCAGCCTTCAGATGCTCCAGAGAGGGCAGTTGTAGCATCACGCCACACTTGACCTATTCCCCCCTCATCACAGGGAACTTGGGAGCTCATGTAACGAAATGGATGACTAAACACTAAGCAAGCTCGACATCAGGGACGTCAACAGGACTCAAAGCCACGAAACAGAAGGGAGTTATCTTTTTTTAACATGACACGCACAAATCTAGTTTTGACTGCAATGGAAACTATTCGACTTTCACTTTGCATTGTTGTTTTGTTCAGTCCTGTTTTCTTTAGAAGAACATAATTGGGAGGGATGAAACCCTCTCTTAATGGTCACACATGCAGAGCACACAACACACAGTGAAATGTGTTCTCTGCATTTAACTCATCCTAGTGCCAGGAGTCTAGTACTAGGAGCAGTGGGCAGCTATTGTACAGCGCCCAGGGAGTAATGGGAGTGAGGGGGTTGTCCGGTGCCTTGCTCAAGGGCACCACGGCAGGGCAGGAGCTGAACTGGGACCTCTCCAAGTAGCAGTCCACACTCAATATTTTAGGTTTGGTCGGGGACTTGAACCGCCGACCCTATAGCTCCCAGTCCAAGCCCCTACTTTTTTTTTTCTTTTTTTTTTATCTTTTATTATCAAAAATAGACATTTAACATCTCATCACATACATACAGCATTTCTCATAATACACACATTCAATTTTTCATATCACTAGCTTAAAGGTAGTGTGCCTTTAGTTTTCTGTTCAAAGTTGAAGCACAATGCTCCCTCCTCATTCAGCTCAACTAGCCTGCTGCCATCCACAAAATCCTCGCAAAATATGTCCTTTTCCACATGTATTAGCACAAGGTTAATGTCCCTTTTTACTGTCCTCTTCATTATATGCCACACCTCTGACATTTTACCCTCGAAATGGGCAATGTTCCTCCTTATTTGGACCGCACGCCTTGCATGGCTCAGAACATAATTTAAAAGATTCACATTGCATTCATCCTTCTTCTCAATCACACAAAACAGCCACAGCTCCTTCCATTCCATTCCTCTCACATACCATTCATTCCAACATCTACCAATTAACTCTTTCATCCTTCCAAAAAAAACAACAAACTCTTTACATTCAACAAACTCATGCAAACACGTTTCAACCTGATCCTTACACACATCACACTCTCTCTCAACAGTTGCATCAAAATGACTAATGATCAGGTTGTTAAACACCCTATTATGCCTCAACACAAAATCAAAGTTATCACATTCAATACTGTTCCACTTAATTTTCACATTCTCCCACCAGTCATACCGTTCACAACACTCATCCACACTTTTTCTGATGCAGGTCTTCTAATCACATCCCCTTTTAACCATTTATATATATTTTTTGTTTTCACATTTTCTATTTTTACATTGACATCCTCTTTCCCCACATATAAATCCACCACACTCTCCTTTCCTTTAACACTCTCATTCTCAATCATTGTTAACCATTCACTCGGCATTCCTTCTTTGATTTCTTCCATCATTCGTTCAGCTGTCCCTAAATACATTACTCCATCTATTTCCCTAACCTCATCCACTATCACCTGTGCCCTCATAAATCCTGGTACATACTCTAAAACTACATCCTTAACCCTCCTAATCCCCGCTCTCCACATTGGCAGATTGAACAAGGAACACTGCTCATGAGTGATCCTAGGGTTTAGGAAGATCGGCTGCTCCCACACCTGCTGCACATTCACACAATCATACCTAACATACTTCAAAAACTCGCCCCATGCACTCATTACCTCCCTTTGATAAGCACTCATACCATTCAACATCCCCTTTTTCAGCACCATAAAAATAGCACCATCACCACATCCTCCACATTTATTTATTTTTTCTTTTAAGAACATTTTCCATATCTGGTCCTCCTTATTTCCAAGGTAGCGAACCATCATTTTAATTCTAATTGCTTTTATTTTTCTTCTTAAATTGATCAGCTTTAACCCTCCATCCCTACACTCATTTTCTAACACTTCTCTAGCTATCTTTACCCCCCTCCCACCCCATATAAACTCACTAACTATCTTATCTATTTCATTCACTACACTATCCGGCACATCTAAAACTGTTATTATATAAAGTGCCCTACTCATAATTAACCCATTCACTACAACTATCTTCCCCCTCAACTTAAGCCCCCTCATCTTCCAAAACCTCAACGTCTTCACTAAACCATTCACTAACTCTACATACTGTCTGTCCCTACCCTCCACATCTTTAATTCCCAAATTGATCCCCAACACCCTAAAATAATCCTTATTTTCCTTCAACCCTATATCACAATTCCTATCCCTCACCTGTCCTATATACATAATCTCTGACTTTTCTATATTCACCCTAGCTCCTGATGCCCTACCATACAAACTAACTGTCTTCAACACTTCCCTAACACTTTCCCTATCTTTAACTGTAATGGTGGTGTCATCCGCATACTGATAAACTAAACTAACCCCCCCCTCCTGGCACCTCCACTCCTTTGATATACCTGTTTTGCCTCAGCAGCGTCGCTAGGGGCTCGGCTGACAGCGCATATAGCATTGCTGATAGAGGGCATCCTTGCCGGACAGACCTCCCTAACTTAAACACATTGGTTACCACCCCATTAATCTTAACGCAACTGACTGCACTACTATAAATCCTCCTTACCCACCCTATTAATCTTTTCCCAAACCCTGCCTTTTCTAACACTCTATACAAGAAACCATGACTAACCCTATCAAAAGCTTTATTTAAATCTAAACTAACTACTATCCCACCCTTACCCTCCTTCATGTGACTAATTGTGTCCCTAATACTACTAATAGTGTCACAAATATCTCTCCCTGGAATACTATACGCCTGTGTGTTCCCCACTACTGATTTTATAACCCTCTTAATTCTATTTGCTAACACCCGTGCTAGCACCTTATAATCCGTGTTTAACATACTAAGTGGCCTATAGTTTTCTAACTTCTCCCTATTTCCTTTCTTAAACAATATACTAATTATCCCTGTAGATATGCCTGCCGGCAATTCGTCCCTCTCCTCCAAGCTCTTGTACAGTTTAAGGAGTATTGGTGCCAACCCCTCCCTAAATTCTACATAGAATTCAGACGTCAGACCATCTATCCCTGGACTCTTATTCCTACCCAGACCTGCTATAGCTAATTCTATCTCCCCTAATCCTATCTCCCCCTCACATATGTCCCTACCTTCATCACTCAATCTCGCTTCCATACTATCTATCACCTGTTCTAAGCTCTCCCTATCAATCTCCTCCGCCTCAAATAACTCCCTATAAAATTCCTCAACTCTCTCAGCAATCCCTACAAAATCTGATATTATTTCTCCTCCCTTTCCTTCAACCCTCTCTATATTATTCTTTCTCTGCTTTACCTTCTCTAGCGCCAAAAAAAAACCTGTACTTTTCTCTCCCTCAACTGCATACCTAGCCCTACTTCTTATTATAGCACCTCGACACTTTCTCTTCTCTATCTCCCCCAACTCATCCTTCAACCGACTATACTCATCTATATCTCTCCCTATTTCTATATCTACCTTTTTAGCTTCCACCTTTAACTCTTCCCTAACCCTTTTCTCTTTCTCCCTTTCTATTTTATTCCTATTTTTACAAAAACCTATACTTATCCCTTTTATTTCATTTTTAAACCCCTCCCAACACACTCCCACATCCTCACCATTCAAACCTCCCCTTTTTTCTATACATTCTCTCACTTTAACCTTATATCCATCATCCTTCAGCAGACAGGCATTTAAGCACCACACTCCCCCCCCCCTCCCTTTTCTCACTGTTCCAATGCAGAAACTCAATATGTTGTGATCACTCATGGCAGTATTCCTATATTCAATTCCGCCAATTTTCTCCCCTAAATTACTCCACACTAAATCTATTCTACTCTGTTTTAATATCCCTCCCACCACTTGATTCCTAGAAAACACCCTCTCCCTACTATTCCTTTCCCTCCACACATCCAACAGCCCATTTGTCCCCATTATTGTTTTGAGCGCACCACGTGATGAATCACTATTAAAACCCATATTCACAGACACATCCAGCTTCGAACACCACACATTGAAATCACCAACAATCATACATTTTCCCCCACATTTATCCTTCAACCCTTCAAAAAACTCCCTCCTCCTCCTTGTCTCATTCGGTGCATACACGTTTATTAAATTAAATGTTTCCCCCATACATTCAAACATTATCCCAACCATTCTCCCAACACCATCATCCTCAACTTTCCTTATATTCGTTACCACCCCTGTTTTAATTAATATTGCCACCCCTCTAGCACCCATACTCCCGTTATTTACATACATTTCTCCCATCCATTCTTTCCTTACATCCTCCACACACCTTTCATCCCAATGTGTCTCTTGCAAGCAAATGATGTCTGAGTCGCATATTATTAAGGCCTGCTCTCTCCTGTCCTTGGACCTCAGCCCATTCCCATTAAAAGAGGAAATTGTCACCATTACAAGTGTTATTAATGTTATTATTTTTTCCATTCTATTTATTTTTTGTCCGGACCCTTTGCAGCTCCTCCTTTCGCTTTCACCCGTCTTCTCTCCACCACTTTCTCCTTATCGTCTTTCCTCTTTGCATTTAGCCTGCTGGATTCTCTCCTCATCCCTCTGCTCTTTGTCCCAGCATTCGCCCCACCAACG